TTCCTTCCTTCCTTCCTTCCTTCCTTCCTTCCTTCCTTCCTTCCTTCCTTCCTTCCTTCCTTCCTTCCTTCCTTCCTTCCTTCCTTCCTTCCTTCTTACCTGCCTGCATTTTTGCCTTTCTTCATCCCTCTCTCCCTCCCTTTCAAGAAGAGATTGGACTGCCATTTGTCAGAAATGGTGTAGGGTCTCCTGCTTGGGCGGGGGGTTGGACTAGATGACCTACAAGGTCCCTTCCAACTCTGATTTATCTGTAATCTGTAACCTCCCTCTCCCCTCTCTTTTTCTTTTTTCCTTCTTTCCTCCTCCCTCCCTCCCTCTCCTCCTCCTTTCCTCTCCTTCCCTCCTTCTCTCCTTTCTTACCTCCTCCCTCCTTCCCTTTATTCTATTTTATTTCTATGACCACCCATATCAAGTACACTTAATTTATCCCTTTGCCAAATTAGTACTGCCACCCATCACACAAATGTGACTCTGGGCGGTGCACAATAAAATCAACAGTTCAAACCATCTTAAATAACCATTAAAAGCACCATTAAAGCCAAATCTAAACAAGAATGCATGACTCTGAGCAACTCACATCATTAAAAACAAATATATATACACCCACACGCACCCACACACACACACACATACAGTACAAAACAATAAAAGCATGAAAATACACAGCTGGTGAAGAATCATTAGAAAATACTCTTCGCATAGCCGAAGGTGTTAGATGGATGGATATGTAAATTTGTAGAAATATAGAATGGGAGAAGAGAAAGAGGAGAGGAGAGGAGAGGAGAGGAGAGGAGAGGAGAGGAGAGAAGAGAAGAGAAGAGAAGAGAAGAGAAGAGAAGAGAAGAGAAGAGAAGAGAAGAGAAGAGAAGAGAAGAGAAGAGAAGAGAAGAGAAGAGAGTATATAGAATGGGAGAAGAGAAAGAGGAGAGAAGAGAAAGAAGAGAAGAGAAGAGAAGAGAAGAGAAGAGAAGAGAGTATATAGAATGGGAGAAGAGAAAGAGGAGAGAAGAGAAGAGAAGAGAAGAGAGTATATAGAATGGGATGGGACAGGACGGGACAGAACAGAACAGAATAGAATAAAATAGAAAATAATAGAATATATGGAAATAGAAAAGAAAAAGAAAAAAACAAATATATGGAAATAGAATGGAATGGAATAGAATAGAGAATGGAAGAAGAGAAGAAATAATATAGAATATAATAGAATCAGGAATAATGGAACAGAACAGAATACAACAGAATAGAAACAAGAATAAGAGAACAGAATAGGATGGGACGGGACAGGACAGAACAGAATAGATCAGAAATTAGAATAATGGAACAGAACAGAATTAAGCAGAACAAACGCTTTATCCTACGCTGTTCTGGGTACCGCATTTTTATTTGTTTATGTTTTCCACGGAGCTTTTAAATCTGGAACAACGCAACTGAGGTTGTCGGGTAACAAGGTGCACACACCGCCTGTGGGTCCGGCTGTTCTGTGCAGCCCCCCAAACCGCCACATCTTCCTCAGCGTCAGCCTCCCTTCACGCCACCCTACCCCACCCTGCCACACTGAGGACAGCCTGAGCTACGTTCAGCCCCCTTCTAGCGCTGATCACAGCGTCACCACAACCGCAGCAGCTCATTCCATCCCCGCAGCACCGGATGGTGTTTACATTCCAGGGTGCAAAACAAGAGGCGTGGGAATGGTAGCTTGGAGAGCTTTGAAACCGGGATGGTGGAAGGTCTGCCGCCTGCGGCAGGGGGCTGGACTAGAAGATCTCTGAGGTGCCTTCCCGCCCTAGGACTCCCCATTCCTAAGAGGTCTGTAAGGGGCGTGCGTAAGCACACCCACGTGCCCACCGTCCCTGTCTTAACGGTCCCTTTTATTTGTATCTATTTCATGTATTAACAGTCCGGTTTATACTTATGTATATTATCAACAGCCTGCTTGACAAAATCAATTAATAAATAAATAAATGTTCTAGGAATCAGCCTAATGAATGTGTAGATAACCTTGAGAGAAGAGGGGAATAGTTGCTGCCTAGCAACCCATCGGATAAGAGAGGCAGGCGCCCTTGGTTACCTAACAGCCAGAGGAAGATACAGATACAGATTAACTGAGTTGGAAGGGGCCTTGTAGGTCCGTGATGGCAAACCTGTGGCATGTATGCAAGAAGTGGCATGCGGAGCCACTTCTACTGGCACGCAGAAGAGCCCCACTGCACATGCCAGTGCACCATTTTCAGCGTGGGAGCCCAAAAAGGTTAGCCACCACTGTGGTAGGTCATCTAGTCCAACCCCCTAACCCTACACCATTTCTGACAGATGGCAGTCCAGTCTCTTCTTGAAAGCCTCCAGTGATGAAGCTCCCACAACTTCTGAAGGCAACTTCTATTCCATGGGTGGATGGTTCTCCATCGTAAAATTTCTCCTTATTTCCAGGTTGAATCTCTCCTTGATCAGTTTCCATCCATTATTCCTTGTCTGGCCTTCAGGGGCTTTGGAGAATAGCTTGACCCCCTTCCTCCCTGTGGCAGCCCCTCAAATAGTGGAAGACTGCTATCATGTCCCCTTACTCCTTCTCTTCATTAAACTAGACATACCCAATTCCTGCAACCGTTCTTCATACTGTTTATGAATTGGGATGCAATATTCCAAGGGTGGTCTTACCAAGGCATTTTAAAGCAGTAGTAACACCCATGGTTTCTGCTTCCATTGTGGCTTGGTTTCGCGACACAGAGGGTCAGAACAAGAAACCAGTCAGAAAAATTAGAATAGAGTAGAGTAGAGTAGAGTAGCAGAATAAAGTAGAAGAGCAGAACAGAGCAGAGCACAGTAGAGCAGCAGAATAGAGTAGAGTATAGAATAGAGTAGAGTAGAGTAGAGTAGAGTAGAGTAGAGTAGAATAGCAGAACAGAATAGAGTAGAGTATAGAATAGAATAGAGTAGAGTAGAGTATAGAGTAGAATAGAGTAGAGTAGCAGAATAGAATAGAGTAGGGTAGCAGAATAGAATAGAGTAGTAGAATAGAGGAGAGGAGCAGAGCAGAGCAGCCAAATAGAGTGGAGTAGAGTGGAATGGAATGGAGTAGAGTAGAGTAGAGTAGCAGAATAGAGTAGAATAGAGTAGCAGAATAGAGTAGAATAGAGTAGAGTAGAGTAG